GCGGCCACAGTTTCTCAGGGGAACGCAATACTTTTGTGAGAGAACGCAAAAGTTTTGCAAATGAATGAAATATTTTGAAATATTTTCAATAATATGTTGATGCATAGATTTTGTTTTGGTAAGCATAAGGTGCTTTCAGTTTTGGTTTGAAAATAGTTGTTGCAGCAACCATTTTAAAACCGCTAATGAAAATAAATAAATATTGTTAGCATTTATTCAGGTCTGTGCTCATATATCGAAATATTTATATGTAAGTATTTTATGCACCTATTAGGCCTCATTCATGAAAAACAAAAACAACAAATTTCAGTGTAAATCAATTGTGAAAGTGTTTTTACACAATTGTTGGTAATGGTAACAATTTACTTATTAATGGTTTTACAAACAATTTACAAAGAAATTCATTGCTCATCTATGTAATTTCCTAGTTCCCCAAATGCTCAAAAATGCTTTTTTCCTAATGCCAACAATTTATGTAAAAATGTTTTTACACAAGGTACAAATTATGCACAATAAAGTCAATTTACGTAACAACTGTTTCAAAAATTTAAATACACAAATGTTACACTTCATGAACAACTTCATGTTAAACTTTTATTAGCCTTTCATTTGCAAATGCGAATAGTAGACAAACTGTGGAATACCATACTTTTCAATAGGATGCTAAAAATAACAATGTGCACCTATACCCAATTAATCAAAAGAAATAACTGACAGATTTACCAGCTATCAAACTAAACAACAGTTTTACAACACTTTTAACAATCACTTTTACAACAGTAAAAATCCCCATGCAACCAGATAGGTCGGACGACAAATAAATGACCAACAGCATTCAGTCACACAGGCCATTGACATTTATAGATCATTCGGCTTGGCAAGAATCTTAGACTCTTTTTTCAACAGCTATTTGGCACAAGAACTACAGCATACAAGCGTTTTTATCACAGATCGCCATCCATACACACACACACACACACAATCCTAAATAAAGACTTTCTGACCTGTAACTAAATACACAAAGATTTTACTATGACAGCAGATTCTTCGCAGGCCACTTTATTGGATTACACCTCTACAAACTTATGAATAAACTCAGTGTGTGTTGTGGTGTACTATCAGTCAGCAGTAACCTTATCTTCCTGGCCATATTTAGTTTTTTCATGATGATAAACAAAGAACAATAACTTCATTCATCACCATTGTACAACATTGAACTATTGTAATGCACTGCTAGGTGGTTGTCCTGCATCTTCAATAAACAAGCTACAGGTAGTCCAAAATGCAGCGGCTAGAGTCCTTACCAGGTCAAGAAAATATGATCATATTACCCCAATTTTACAGTCTCTGCACTGGCTACCTATTAACTTCCGTATCAGTTACAAAATAAAATATTGTAGAAACCTAATTTGCTGTAAAGTTGCTTTGCAATGATTGGTATTGTGAAAAGCGCTATAAAAATAAACGTGAATTGAATTGTACAATTATATTGGTCATTTTACAACAGGTGTTCTTTAAGCACTACAAAGTATTAACCGAAAAGCAATAAAGACAAAGTCATTAAAGTTGTTTCCATGGACACAGAAAAAAACAATATGCATTTATTTTTATGGGTCAGGACAGGAAGTTATATGGCCTGCATGGGACATGATCGCTGGTGCAGACTTTACAGAGCTGTTATGTAACTGAGAGAGAGAGGGATATTTTAGACACTATCATGCTTCTAAAAGTGTTCGCCTAGCAGCTTGTCTACCAAATTAGCACATCAACACTGAGAATAATACAGGCAGATTGCAGGAAGTTCTTACATTATTAAGGGAAAATAAACGCTGCTAGAATTCTAGTCAAAAGCAGGGCTCCGCATTAGCTGTGACTAAACTGCTTGCAATTTATTCAAATTAATTATTCACATAAATAAAAAATTGCAACAATAATTTAATAATACTTTTTGAAATACTTTTTGTAGATCCATATGCACTTTAAGTAAACCTGTTGCCGCCACAGATAAAAATAAATAAATAAATAAAAAGGCATTTGCAACTTTTTAACACAATTCAGACTTTTTCCCCTCACAATTCTGAGTTTATCTCACAATTCTGACTTTTTATCACAATTCTGAATTTATATCTCACAATTCTGACTTTTTTCTCAGAATTGCATAAACTCAAAGAATGAAAGCAATTCTGAGAAAAAAAGTCAGAATTGTGAGATGCTAAATCGCATATAAATTCGGAGAAATTTGAATTTTGATAAACTCGTAATTGCAAGAAAAACAAATTGTGATAAAAAGTCGCAATTTATTTTTTATTCTATGGTGAAATAAATAAAACAGAATTATGAGATGTAAACTCAAATTTCAGAGATCAGAACTGCGAGATATAAACTCAGAATTACGAGAAAGTCAGAATTCTAAGTTTATAGCTCACATTTTTTGAGTTTTATTCTCAGAATTGCAAAATATAAATTCAGAATTGTGTGATACAGATTTAAAATTGCTAGAAAAACAGTCATGACCTTTCTATTTTTATTTTTTTTGGCGGAAATGGGCTTCCATACTTGAATCCAACATCATCTTGCACAAGCATTTCCTGCATGCTACAGCAAATATGGTGCAAGCTAAAATGTTGAATTAGGGAACAGAAGACTCCTATTAACCAGTTAAAGCTTTGCGAGGTAGCAGTTTGAATCAGATTCCCTCACTGAATAAGCGAGTCACTTTTCGGTTACATTTGATTCAAAAAGAGGCGGGTCATGTGGTAAGTTAGTGTGACAAAAAAAAGAAAAAAAATATATATAAAAAGTATATGACCTTACCAGTTGTTCAAATTACAAATAAAGACACAAACATATTTTTGTTGCATAATGGTATTCTAAAAAAAAAACGTTCACATGCTCGGTCTATAATCAACATAACTAAGTGATCAAGACAGTGATAAATATGGCACAAGTACAGTGATATAAACAAATTAACCAATCTATACTAAACAATATATTAGCATGTTACATTACACATAATCCCTACTAATTTTGTTGTCTGGAGCAGTTATTTAGCGTGACTAATTCTTCAAATTGCCAGTGAAATTCTGGCTACTTTCACAGCTAAGACAACTAGCCAGCAGCATGGATTTGTTTTCTTTTGCGGACAGAGGTCTTTGCAGAAAATAACTACAATTAAAAACGTGACCTGACTACAGACACTTGTGAACCAGACAGGGGTTGTCTCGTAGCACAGCGTTTAAAATTAGCCAAGCACAAGACACAGACGGAAGCCAGAAAAAAACATTTCCAAAGACAACAGCAAAAGACATCATCTGGTAAAGAATTACTGGACACGCGGCTGTCAGATCCGGATTGGATAAAAGGAAAACCACAACACCTGAAAATAGCCGTGTTCCGCCACGGCACTACAATTAGCATGACCTGAGACGGACACCAGGTCCTGTTAAGTTGGGCTCCGTCTGTTTTCCTGTGAGAAACGGGCCAGAATCAACAGAAGCAACACGAGCAGAGAGGGAGATGGAAATAAAATCATATTGTCCGAAGATAGCGCGCAGCAGAGAACTTAGAATAACATAAGCACTGATCACTACAGTGTTTTACATGCTTTTCAGTTTCCTCTGTGGTCAACTTCAATTGCAAGGTATAGGCTCTGTTCGTAAACGGAATAGTAGCGTACTACGCAGTATATACTACTGTATCCGCCTTATTTTGCACCTTGTATGTGCGAGACTTCCGTTTTCATTCGCTTCCAGCCATTAATAGCGATACAAAATTGCTCGTTATACTGCTTGATATTGATACAAACTGATATTTCTTATCATAGTATTTGAATAAATTGTCTTCATAATAAACACACTGGTTTGTAGTGCAAATATTTTCACGGTTTACAGCACTGCAGTTTTCTAATGAATCAGAAGTGTCGCACATTCGAAGAAAGAAAAGCTTACGTCTGCACTGAATAATAAGGTGGACACTGGGTACTATTTAAAAAAAAAAAGACACTTAGCGCTTTTTCTGGAAGTTGCAACAATAAAAATGGCATTGTTGTGAGAAATTAAAAAACACAGATAAGTCACATCAATTTAGAAGTCATTTTATTACAATAAGAAATAATGTCAAATACCTTCAAATGAAATGTTGAAACATTCTAAACACTACAAACGTGATTAGTTCCCCTCACTCCACAAAAAATCCTTTAAACGTAACTATTGGAAGAGAAGTGAAGTGACATGTGGCCAAGTATGGTGACCCATACTCGGAATTAGTGCTCTGCATTCATCCCATCCAAAGTGCACACACACACAGCAGTGAACACACACCCGGAGCAGTGGGCAGCCATTTATGCTGCGGTGCCCGGGGAGCAGTTGGGGGTTCAGTGCCTTGCTCAAGGGCACCTCAGTCGTGGTACTGAAGGTGGGAGAGAGCGCTGTACATTCACTCCCCCCACCTACAATCCCTGCCGGTACGAGACTCGAACCCGCAACCTTGGGTTACGAGTCCAACTCTAACCATTAGGCCACGACTTCCCCCTTCAGACAGATATACAGACAGATATACAGTATCAGTATGAAACAAACGTAATTTATTAGTCCGTTCATTTCAGACGATAAAAAATGCGACTCATATTCTGGAAAATATGGTTAAAAGTGTACATTATGCATTTGTAAACATTTAAAAAAGCATTATTCCACATTTTTGTCACATGACCTTGTTATATTATGTTTAATCAACTGAGTGGCCTCCAAGTTATTTCGCACATGAAACTGTTAGTTTCCATTTTTAATTTTGCGTAAAAATATTGTAGGTTTTGCAAATAAGGAGTCAAAAAATACGTTCGACATTGCACTTGATTACTTACTGTTCATTTGTCGCACAGGAAACGGAAGGTCAGGTTGGGCACATTGCATTGTGGGATACAGTATTCTATGAAGTGTGCTCTTCAAAAGTTTTTTTTTTTTTTTCCATACACAGAGGTTTGAATAAGAGTAAAGACTCAGAGTCAGATTTTTCCCCACATATTTTATTACTATAATGTCTCTAAAGGCAGCAGTTTTAAGTGTTCACAAGTTTTTCTATTTTTCTTCGGTAGGGTGAGTACAATGCTGTGGTAGAAAAAAAACTGGCCTTGCGTGCTAAAAACTTAAGACACAAAACATCAGAAATATTAACACTCGAGGTCCCCCTTAAAGTTCGCTGGTACTGAAAAGTGGCTAGTGTAACTGGAAACAGAAAAATCATAGTTTTTAGACACAATTTGACAGCAATATTTGACAAGAAATACTCTTCACATAGGAATAACGTCATACAACTATGTCGTACCATCACAGACACCAAGAAGCTACAGTCACAATGAATGCCGGCCGGATCAAGTGACAATTTAAAGCGACATGATGTTTTTTTTTTTTTAAACTCACAGTTGAACAAATCAAAGAAAACAATTCATTCTGAGATAAAGTGCGCTGCAGCTAAAGGAGTAAGACAAACAGCATTTAGTCACTAACTTCATTATTAGATCATCAACATCATGTGACATTTATTTACACATCATTGAGAGTCAAAACCGATCTGCTACAGTGTGAAAATATCCCTTCACTTGCACCACGGAAAAGCATTGGACCTAGAAACTCAAAATGTAGGATGAATATCAAATCAAGCCGTTTTTATAAACATAACATCAAAAATACTTCTTCCGTCAAGTGGAATAGGTGAATCCAAAGGTTATCCAAAAGCAATGCATTATGGGTTGTTTTTGAACTGAAAAACACTCAATGACTATAGAATAAATTTTTCAAAAAAAGTGCTTACAAAATGAAACGAACAAATTATACCCAAATGATCCATCTGTAATTTCAGTGGCCATAAGACATCCTTGCAAAATATCTACATCTCATCTATGTTAAAAGGAAACTATGTACAACATATACATATAAGTCACATGGCCGCAGGAAACGGACATCAGAGATACGTTATATTCACAGCTCATGGGTTAGATTTAGAAACGGAGTGGTTTAAATCCTAGTCTTTGGTGGCATTACTCTGAAATCCAAAGTATTACATCACACACGCTGTTTGTGTGTTCAGCTTGAGAACAGAGGAAATGCTTGACAACTTTAGCGACTTAATTTAGACATGGAATGAAATGAATGCGAGTCATAAGAATGGAGGAAATGCAAAAATGTGAAATGTGTTTAAAGGAAACAAGATTAAAACAAAGCTTTTCTTCTTGAATGTGGAAATAACTAGGAAAGGAAACTAAGTTGAGTTTGTTAAAAACAAACAAAAAATAAAAACTGTGTATACATCTACCACAATATTTAAATATATTTGGCACTAATCTTAAATGGAACTGTGTACATTAATGTCATATTTTATTTTTTTTTCTCTAAAGAAAGACAGTAAAAGCTATTTTAGGATTATTTAAATTTTGAAATGAAACCTTTCCTCCTAAAAGTTCTCAATATCGTAATGCAATAAAACAAAACAAACAAACCTAATTCTCATTACTGTAATACAGTAACAGATTTTTCAGGGTAAATAACGACCTGGACATTCAGTCGTTCGTATTTTAGCCAAGTCATGTCTTAAATTTAAGACATTTGTATCCATCGTCTGATTTCTATTTGAGTAATCTCAAAATACTCAGATCAATCGCTATCATTTGGAAGATCTACTAACGTATAAATTAAAAACAGAATAACGGTTAATAAAACCTTGGATTCTCTTCATGTCCGCTGCTTAATATTATTTTTTTGTGAACATTTGGAAGAAATCTCTAAAAAGATGTACCACATGAATAAAATGGCAATTGAAATAGAGTTGGCTTTTGTGAAATCAAATAATCCAAGTTGAAATCCAGCAAAGTTTACACAGTGTGCAGTCAAAACTGACTTAAATTTCAAAATGTCAACGTATGCCATTTTCCATAAGCAGTAATGTTCCAGAGTGACCCAAAAAATGAAACTGAACAAATCCAACAGAAAACAGTCGTCCCAAATACTGAGTCTGAAATGAAATGGGACATTGCCGCTGTGCAAGATTGCTCACCACAACAATAAGCAACCTAAAAACATCCATTCATCCTTCATATCGCCCTTTCGGAGCTCGTGCTACAGAAATGTCCTTCACCTGAAGCTGTCCGTCAAAGTCTTTGGGTTTTCTGGACAAACACAGAGCCTTTTTTCGTATAAACTAAAACACATTTTTCTTTGTCGTAAATTTACAGGCTTCAATAAAACTTGTTAGTTGTTAAGACTAGGAGGATTAAAACGTGTGCCTTAAGTAAAATATCGTCCGAAACGTTAACGCAATGTCTTTGCATCCCATTGGACACCTCAGAAAAAGATAACGTCCTCCTTGGCGGCTTCGTCGCTAACAGTGTACTGGAGGGTGGGCTGGGAGGTCTGGTTGTGGGTTTTGAGAATGGCAGGCGCGAGGCTAGACTGGGCGTCCGTATGCATGTCTGGAGGGCTGAGGGAATCTGCAGGGTGAGCAAACCAAACAACAGGCCTGTCAGCTGGGCCTAATGACTGTTTATACAGCGGGATACGGCTCGTTCAGGCTCGGCCGGGAATGTCGGGTGCGGTTGTTTGTCTTACCTGAGTGCGAATGTTGAGGTTGGTGGGGGCTGATGGGCCGGCGTGCTTTGTGACCTCCGTCCGAATCCCTCGATGACAGCTTGATGGGCAGCATCTGCTTCATGTCAACAGAAGCTACAAAAAGCGAAGATGGATTTAGGAATCAGCAAATTCGCTCCCAAGGAACGTCTTTTGTTGGTCGCAAACGGACCAGTACTAACCCCAACTGTCGGTGCGGTGTGAACTCTTGCCCTTCCCACTCTTCTCCTTGCCTTTGCTGAAGGCGGCGAGTTTGGTCGGTATCTGCTGCTGGACGCTGCCCTGCTTGTGCAGCTGGTTTGTGGTGCTGATGAGATGGATGGGAACCTCCGTCTTGGCCGGTAGGGTGCTGCAGGAGCTCTCGCGGCGCGAATGGACTTCAGGACGCTCCGGGTAGTCGGCGGGGGATGCGGAGAGAGAGGCCCGCAGGTGCGACTTTTGAGGAAGTGTCTGGTCCCCAGCTCCGCCGAGCAGCAGCTCACCGTTAAAGCTGGAGGAACTGGAAAGCTAAAACACAAAGCGAAATGCAAATGTTAGCACCACATGTGGTGAATGTCTCCATCCAATCATTAATGAAACACTACCGGGACTGACGTATGTGATGGATGGATTTACGAAATGTATCTGCGAACAACTGAGTTGAACGCAACGATATACACAGCAGATTTATGAAAAACTGAAATAAATGCAACAATTCATGCAAAAATGGATTTACGAACAACTGACTGCAATCATTTGCAAAAACGTTTTTACAAACATTTAACTTGAACGCAACAATATAATGTACACAATGACAGATTTATGAACAACTGAATTTATTGCAACAACTTCAGCAAAAATGGATTTGACAATTTGACTAAATGTCGCAACTTGCGCAAGAATGGATTTACGAACAGTTGAGTTGAACATGGAAAATATAAACAACAGATTCACGAAAAACTGAATTGAATGCAACAGCAATTTACCCAATAATAGCTTTACAAATGTTGAACCAAATGCAACAATTTATATGAGAGTGGACCACAACAGAATCAAATACGACAAATTATAAAAGAACGGATTTCTGAACCATTTATATTTTTTGAATTTATGCAAGAATGCCTTTATTTACACTGAAATTTGTTCTGTCCGTGAGACAGATCTAAATCGTACAGGAAACCATTTTCACGTAATTTGTTGCACATACCTCAATGTAGTGCTGGGCGGTATGACCAAACATTTATATCACGGTATTTTTCAAAACTATACCGGTTTCACGGTACATGACGGTATTATTTTTTTCATGTATGACCGGGTGTTAACCATATTTTCTACTGATTGAGAGTAAATACTGCAGTATATTGACTTAGAATGCCCTATTTTACTGTCATGATGAGTGAATATTGTCAAAAAATACCACACTAAATAGTGACTAAACACGACCCCTTTTAATACATGTTAACCAGGAGTCACTCTCATTTATAATCGCGGCATCGTCTGATAAAATCAACATGCATCTACACTAAAGAGCGGCTATGCGGTTGTTTTGGCTATATTATTTTTTTGTCTCATGCAGCGCACTGCCTGCGTCTGAGCAACAAACAAAAAAAACAACGAACAAAAAAGTGCATGTGATATTGCATGGAAACGCTGTTTTGTACTCATTTATTGACGAGTCGGCTGCTGTGCGGCCAACTGAATGCGCTGCTTCTCTGCCGCTCACTGCACAGAACAGACACCGAGAGAGGTGACACTTCTACGGAAAAGTCAGACCTCGCGTTCGCGGGACAGCACTAGCGAAATCTTCCAACTGAATCATAACTAAGGTTTATCCAAAAAAGTCGCTAGGTTTGTCAGTATGAATATTCTATGGAAAAAGGCTCTGAAAGTTGCTAAACCTAGCGCTAAAGTCTCACTCGTGTGTGTGAGACGTGGGAGCTGATGGCAGGGGGCGGTGGATATTTGTGGCGGTCAATGTGGATATTGTGGATGAGTTCTTCTGTGTCATCACGTTCTATTAGTTCTACAGCTTCAGTTAAGGAACATTCACGCTTAGTAACACATACAGCTGTTCCCTCACCACAGTGCAACAGTGAAAAGGACAATGCAACAGTGAAAAGGGACCCCTTTCAAACAGTGTCGCTTTCCGAACGTTGTTTAAGCGACATACACCAGTATTGCGGTATTTTAAAAATTAATATCATAACAAAAATAAACACCGGTATTCGGTATGAACCGGTATACCGCCCAGCACTACCTCAATGACACAATGTATGTAAAATGGATTTATTAATGACTACCAATTGTACCAACTGCAGAACTTCAAACAACATAGACAATATTGTTGCGTTAAATCACTTGCTATTCATGTTGTTCATTACTTGTAAATTACTTTGGATGAATGCATCTTTCAAATTAATAAAGCCTAAATGACATATTATGGGCCAAAAAGTTTGTTAAGATGTACCTTCTGCATTTAAATTACTTTTTTTTTTACTCCGCTTCTGAAGATCAACTTCCATTTTTGAGCATGGCATGCAGGAAATGCCGAGATAATGTGCTGTGTAGGAAATCCAGAAGACTTTGGGATTTACAGGACAAAGCTGCTTTGCGTGCAGAACAAAGACGTTTGATGCGCTCGAGCACACTTTGTCAACACAGGCATAAAATGTATCACAAATTGAAGACAGCTCCACATCAAAGGACTAAGTTAGGCATGAGGTAAAGATTATTAATGCACATCAGCAGCTAACAGTTAGTGAGCAGCCTCCCTCACAAAACTTTTCATCCAAAGGACATACTGTACACTGTTCGGAGGGAAAGTCCACCTGGTGCAAGCAAGTCTTGCTCAAGGGCCCAAGGGTGATTATGCAATTTTTGGGATGCACCAAGGAGCGAACCTTAAAAATGTACGCAAGGAGTTCAAATAATTAACCGTGAAGTTACCAACACCCTTAGTTCATGGAAAAGATTGGATAATCATATAAGTGTTTATAACATCTACAGTACTTAAAGCTGTAAAAATGGCCAATTTTCTCCACGCCTCAACGATGGAATTGAAACTAGCGCCACCCTCCTCAATCTGTACATTATGCTTCTGCAAGTCACAATTACACCCACTAATTTCCATAATTTCACAAAAAAAATGTGGTTAAGGAGAACATCTAAACACTGGGAGGTGTTCTTCTGGGATCCTCAATCATCAAGAGCCGTGGTAAAAAATGTTTCAAGAATTAAAACAAACAGTTTGTTCGGACTACAGTGCGCTTCTTACGGATAGTGTGAAGTCACAATGTCACTAATTTAAATAATCCCCACCCACGGGCAATGCCTGGTTGAGCTGCGCTAGAGAAGACAGAGGAGCTGCTGTAGTAGCGCGTTGTTGCCATGTCGAAGAGATGCTGTTTCTTCCACCTCGGTTCCAAAACCCCTTAAATTTGTGTTTGCAAAGGTTCTGCATGATCCTCTTGTTCATAAACATTCACATGGGGTGAGTCTCAATCAGCTCCCTAACTCCTAAATCCGTATATTGTGTACACGAATCCGGTCACTGGTAAGTTTCCTGGCTCAGTGCACATTGGGACAGTGATTACTCAATTTAAAGGGGTGGTTGATTGCGATTTCACTTTTTTAACGTTAGTTAGTGTGTAATGTTGCTGTTTGAGCATAAACAATATCTGCAAAGTTATGAAGCTGAAAGTTCAATGCAAACGGAGATGTCATCTTTTAAAATTCTGGCAGTTTAATGCCTACAAAAACGGCTGGTAGGGACTACAACGAGTTACATCCCGGGTTCGTGACATCACAAACCCAGATAAACCCCGCCCTCAGGAAAAGGCAGCAAAGGGGGCGAGGCCATGCTGCGCTGCTTTAGAGAAGAGGAAGAGAAAACTAGAGGTGCACGTAAAAATCTATTCATATATGAATCGCGATTCTGTCTTCTAACGATTCTAATGGATTCACAAGTTTCAAAATCAATGTTCTAAAGCAGCGGTTCTTAATACTGTTCCTCGCGTCGCCTGCTCAGCCTCTCTCTCTCTCATTCAGATCATCAGCTCAGTTCTGTTCATTTATACACTTATTTTCACATAGCTATGAGAAGCGTTATACAAAAGCTAACATAAGTAGTAGAATTTACAAATAACAGCATATCTAAAAATATGAGAACAACAAATAAAAAACATAGGCCCACGCCTAAAGCCGTGTTTGAACAGGTTCTGCACGATCCTCTTCAATAATATCCTCTGCTTCTCAATCGGGCTCAAACTGATAAGCGATATTAACGACGCCGCTGTTTACAATACAACCGGAGCTAGTGCTGGGCGGTATCCGTTTAAGGCGGCATAATTACGTACAACGTCAATGGACAACATTGTAAAATGTCACCACTTGTATTAATCAACAACAGACAGGACCAATTTTTTTTTTTATATTATTTTTTATTCTCTTTAAACATGTTCTGTTACATGTCCTTACAACATTTCAGCAGAATCTTATAAATTATAAATGTTAACTAGATGTGTTCACTAGCGATGTGTTTATGCTGAAATATGGTTAAAAATGGTTTGTCTTTTCAAATCGTCTTTCACGTGTCATTATATTTATCGAGTTGGTTCGTGTGGTTTATGTTTCGTGCTTCAGAAATGTAATGTAATTTCCAGTAAGGGAGCATAATGGGCATCGATGCTCCCTAGCTTTTGTGGTGCATTGTGGGATTTTTCAGGGAGCGAACGTTCCAGTGCACTGGAAGGATTTTGCGATTGAGACAGCCCTTAAAATGACCGACTCCCTGATCAGTGCCCTGACTGCTGAACTAGCGAGCTGATTGAGATGCACCCAGGGTATGAATCGGACTCAAATTTGTATGGCAAAATGGGCATTGTATGGCATTGTAAATATTTACAGCTAAGCAGATGAAATTATGGTAAGTGGTGTTACATTTCCGGAACACGCTCCAAGCGGTTCACCAATCACAACACACTGGGCCAGCTAACCAATCAGAACACATTTCGTATTTCGGAAGGAGGGGTTTCACAGAAACAGTAAGTAAACAGGATGTTTGAGGCAGACTGGGAAGAGAGGTGCTGCAATAATGTAAAATATGTGAACAATTAAGAGTGATCCATCAAAATCAATCAAAACCTATAATAGTACACCCCAAAAACCAATTCAAAATTTTGTAAAAGGGCATAACAGGACCCCTTAAATTAAACACCTGATTCAGGTCATCACTCAAAGACTTAAAATGGGCTTCAGGAACGTGGGAACCACTGATATAGAGCAGTGTTTCCCAACACTGTTTCTGGACACACCTCAACACTACACATTTTCAAACTCTTCCACACCTCAAAGCAGATGTAATGGAAACTAGAGCTACACTTCTGAATCTGTTCATTATGCTTCTTCAGGTCATAATTGCACCCTCTAATTTCCATCATTCTACAAAAAAAGGTTAAGGAGAACATTCAAACATTGGGATATGTTCTTCTGGGATCCTCAATCATCAGCAGTGTTTCCCAACCTACATA